GGGAAGGTGAGGAGAGAGAGAGAGAGAGAGAGAGAGAGAGAGAGAGAGAGAGAGAGAGAGAGAGAGAGAGAGAGAGAGAGAGAGAGAGAACAATTTACCGTGTAGACCCTCGAGTTTTTAAATCGACTGAGGTATGATAATGTTTTTGGAAGGTTTTACAGCGCTCGCAACTGCATAAGATCATAATTATGAGCGCGAAGGAGTGGATGTCAACAGAGAAGTCCAAATGGGGAATCAGGTCTACTCTGCTCATCTCTCTAGCCTCAACAGCACAAAGTCTGCTTCGACTATCGAGGCACCCCGGAAATAGCAGTTCACGAAAAAGAGTGACAAACATACAAAAGAAGTGGAGGGGAAAATGTCGATAGTAAGGATGAGGAAAGAAAAAGCAGCAGTTCCCCCTATGTTGTTCCGGCACAGTATGAGCATGACATTCATAAATCAGCCCATTTACAATTCTACTGTGCGTAAGAACACGTTAATGTCCCCTCTTTGGGAATGGCCTGAAGGCACTTCAGTCAGTAGCACTGAGAGGGAACTGCTGCTTTTTCTTTCCTAATCCTTACTATCGTCATTTTTCCTCTACTTCTTTTGTATGTTTGTCACACTGTTGTGACCCGTTATTTCCAGGGTGCCTTGATAGTCGAGGCAAACTTTGTGCTGTTGAAGCTAGAGAGGTGAGCAGAGTAAGCATGATTCCCTGTAAGGACTTCTCTGTTGACATCCACTCCTTGGCGCTCATATGACCGTATGCAGTTGCGAGCGCCGTAAAACCTTCTACTTAAACAAGGGGTTGGGGTGTCTAGGGTGTGATAGTTTGTTTTTCTATAAATAATGTCCGTTAGTCTGCGTTTATCTTTATATAAATATTATCTATGTATTTATTACAATTATTCATGTAAATCACATTACACGTAACTGTTATTTTGGGAAGGCTGCACATTGTATATCTAGGCCTTGACTTCTTTGAATTATCCTCCTCCTCCTCTCCTCTTCCTTCTCCTCCTACTCTTCCTCTTCCGACTCCTCCTCCTCCTCTTCCTCCTCCTC